CAGAAGCAGGATAATTAAAGAGATACAGCATGACTGGCTGTTTCCACTGGTTGTTTTGGGCCACTTACCTCTTAGCCTCAGCCTCCCCACTAATGAACGGGCATAATGATTGCCCCACCCTATCAAGATCTCTGATATGGACTTCCAGCCAAGATGGAGGCATAGGTGGACGCACTATGCCTCCATGCACAACCAGGATAGGGACAACAACAATTTAGAAGCAGAGTAACATCCAGAACTGACAGAAAATTGATCTGAATAGAAGTCGGACAACCAAGAAGTTGAAATACACCTGTTCATCCAGACCGATAGGAGGGGCGGAGTTGGACAGCCAGGCGAGGGTTGAGGTGTGGAGAGCAGAGAGAGTTGGGGCCCAGCACATAAGGCATCCAGGGGTGTGCAAGGCATCGGAGCACACAAGATTGCAGTGGTGGACCCTGAGTGCGCAAGCAGCAGCTGGCAGACCCAGTGAGGCAGCGATTGTAAAGCAAGGCAATGCATGCAACCCAGGATCCCAGAGCTGGGAAATAGAGCCTCAGAACACTGATTGAGGACACCTGTGGGAGTTGAGGAGCACGGAGAGACACCCAGCCTCACAGGAGAGGTCCTTGGAGGGTCCCACAACATGCACAAGCCCACCCACAAGGGAACTGGTACCAGAGGGGCCCAGTTTGCTCCGGGAAGCAGCAGAAGGGACTGAGATCCCACAAAGAATGGAGCAAGCGCCATTGTTCCCTCTCGACCCTGCCCCCACATACAACATCACAACCCAGCAACTGAGATGTCCCACCCTGGTGAACACCTAAGGCTCTGCCCCCTTACTATAACAGGCGTGACCAGATCAAAAAAAAAGAGAAAGAGAGATGGCTCAAACAGAAGAACAAATCAAAGCCCCAGAACCCATCCTTTTAAGTATCCAAGAAATAGCTAACCTATCAGATGCACAGTTCAAAACACTGGTGATCAGGAAGCTCACAGAATTAGATGAACAAATGCAGGCTATGATAAGAGAAAGGAAGGAAAATGAACAGGAAACCAATAGTGATGGGAAGGAAACTGGGACTCAAAACAATAGAGTGGACCAGAAGGAAGAAACAACCAAACCAAAAAGAATGGAGAAATAAGAATTCAAAAAAAATGAGGAGAAGCTTAGGAACCTCCAGGACATCTTTAAATGTTCCAACATCCGAATTATAGGGGTACCAGAAGGAGAAGATGAAGAGCAACAAGTGGAAAAGTTATTTGAACAAATAATAAAGGAGAACTTCCCCATTCTGGCAAAGGAAATGGACTTCCAGGAAGCTCAGAGAGTCCCAAAGAAGAGTCCCAAGAAGGAACACACCAAGGCACATCATAATTACATTAGCCAAGGTAAAAATGAAGGAGAGAATCTTAGAGGCAGGAAGAGAAAAGGAGACAATTACCTACAAAAGAGTTCCCGTAAGACTGTCAGCTGATTTCTCAAAAGAGACCTTACAGGCAAGAAGGGGCTGGAAAGATTCCAAGTCATGAAAGGCAAGGACCTACATCCCAGATTACTCTATCCAGCAAAGCTTTCATTTAGAATGGAAGGGCAGATCAAGTGCTTCTCAGATAAGGTCAAGTTAAAGGAGTTCATCATCACCAAGCCTTTATTTTATGAAATGTTAAAAGGACTTACCTAAGAAAAAGAAGATAAAAAAACATGCATAGTAAAATGACAGCAAATTCACAATTATTAACCACACCTAAAACAAAAACAAAAGAAACTAAGCAAACTAGAACAGGAACAGAACCACAGAAATGGAGATCACATGGAGGGTTAGCAACAGAGGAGTCAGAGGAGGAAAGAGGGGGAAAAGGTATGGAGAATAAGTAGCATAGATGGTAGGTAGAAAATAGACAAGGGGAGGGCAAGAATAGTATGGGAAATGTAGAAGCTAAAGAACTTATGACACATGGACATGAACTAAAGGGGTGGAATGTTGGTGGGAGAGGGTATACAGGGTAGAGGGGAGTGAAGGGGGGAAATGGGACAACTGTAATAGCATAATCAATAAAATATATTTTAAAAAATCTCTGATATGCTGAATGACCTCAAAGTACAAAAAGATACATGGTCTTTATGAAAAGCATGATTCTTACATTTTATCCAAACATAAATGGGGAAGAAACAGATATGAGTAGGATGTAGCCTTTTAGTACTAACAGTGCTAAACAGAGGAAGTTCAAGAATCAACCTACAACCACAGAATAAAAAGACAGTGGGACAAAAATGAGTCTTGAAATGACTTTAAGATGGGCACCTAAGCTAGCAGTTAAATAGTAAGGACTATTCACAGATATTCACTCAACAGCTGAAATCCCAAAAGTTATTGTTAAGTTAGGTATGTTTTCCTAAGTAGGGGTATTAGCTATGCTATAAATACTTGAAATAAATAATCTAGAAATAGTAGCACAGTTTGCTGATATAAAACATGACTCAGAAAGTAATAAGATGTTCCAATAAAAGTAGGCAAGTGATGGCAAATGAGCTGATTATTATAATGATTGACCCTACATAGTGCCTCCTACTTCCTATACCACTTCATTCTCACAACCTTGTGGTACAACTGGTGTCACAATTACTCCCATCTTAAAAATGTGTAAGCAGGTACAGAGAACTTAAGCAACTTGCCCAGGCTTATATGTAGCAGATATGAGATACAAACCCAGGCAGTCTACCCTCTACCAGAGCCCACATCCTCACCAAGCAACTGATGGAGCTGAGGAATGGAACCCAACAACACTTTAGTAAAAGTTGATGAAATCTGAGGGCTTACTTAGTGCCAAGCACTGCTGAAAACTGCATGCAACCTCAACCCTCAATCAACCAGAGGAAGTTAGCACTGTCAATATGTCAGTTTCACAATGAGGAAACTGAGGAGACAGAGACATTAGAGATATGACAGAACTTCCTATCCACTTAGATCAGTGTTCCATTATCACCTCTGAACCTGAAGGAGCCTTTTTTCCTTATCACTCCCTTGTGAAATTTTAATACCACAGAGAGACTATCTATCTATTTATGTATTGTATGTATATTTGTGCTTTATGCATAAAAAGAGTAGGATTTTTTGGTTCATCAAGAATCCATTTTTGCCCCCCTTGAGAAAGTACAGCCTACAGATTAATGGATCCTTATATGAGCAACCTGTTGTGACTCAGGAACCTGGTTCATTTATTAATTTCTCATTCATTCATTCATTCATTCATCCAATCCAACCTTGCAGTATTTACTGAGTAATAGGAACTATATAAAATAAGTACTCTGTGATCCCATTTATATGAGATTCAAAAAAACCAAAATGAATATATGGTGATGGGAATGTGAATAGCAGTTGTTTTTGGGAGAACTGGCTGAGAAGGGGCACAAAGGAACTTTCTGGCATGATGGAAACTTTTTTATCTTGATCTGGGTGATGGTTACATGTCTGCATACCTTTACTAAAATTTACCAAACTGTGCACTTAAGAAATCTCCATTAACTAAATACAAATTATATCCCAATGTAGTTTTTAAGAAAACATTTCATAGTGTATACTGGGTACTTGAAAGTGGTCTCTGAAGCCCCTAAGTTGCTGCAGGTACCAGAGCTCAGCAGTTGCTTCATGTCATCATGCAGCCTGGGGGAACCTGAATGACCCCTTTATCTGACTGCACCCAGTTGGGCCAGTCTGCCCTGGAATTGGAGGCACAGCTCCAACAACCCAATGTCATAACAAGAAGGACAGTCTAATGAGTCCCTCAAAAATCCATGGGATCTAAGAACATTCATGTGAGGACAGGCTTTGAATTCAAGTGCTCTGAGGTTTAAGCAATAGTTGCTTCACCACAGGAGAGAAGGGAGGGAAAGAAGCTCATAACTGTCTCTGATTGGTTATCACAGCAGCACTGATGTCTTCCTTTCTACATGCTTATGTCATTTTCCTGACTAGATCACAGCCTATGGTTGAGACTGTGTCTACTCAAGTTACTGCCCTCCCTGGAACCACATAACTACAAATACCACATTTTCTGCCAAATATTGGGAAAACTCTGAAAAAAGCTCTCTGTGTTACTTCTGCATGTGAGAGGCTGCCTAAGAGATGCAATCTAGTGCCAATCTAATAGAATTCCTAAGACATTAAAAGATTTAGGGGCACAAACAAAAGGAAAACTATTTAAATATAGTCTTCTAAACACTTCAGGACTTGGTCAATGCAATTATGAAACAGACTTAAAAGCACTATTTTCTCTGTAGTGTTTTAAACTAGAAAAGGAGGAGAAACTTGATAGAATTTGCTTTTGAATAAAACAGAAATGTGATCAACTGAAGAACGAATTTTTAAAAGAAATGCTTATCCTAAGAGTTGGAGACAGAAAGAACTAACAGAATTAAGCTTATATTTGTTGAGAACCTATCAGGTATTCAGCTAAGTGAGGTATAAACATTATACAACCCAATCCTCATAACAACAATGAAGTAGGTACTATTGGTATACTAATTTTACAGAAATTAAAAGGGTTAAAACTTGCTCAGTTGAGGACAATGGAATTTGAACACAAAGTAGGAAACTTGGTCTTAGACTTCCCACTTCCATGTTAAGCATTCCCCTGCTCCTATGTGATGCTGCAGGTGCTGCTAGTGCCTCTCACAGATGGTAAATAAGAGTTCAGACAAGGAGCTGGTGTTGGAATGGGGGCACAGGTTCATGTCCTCCTAACAGAGCACAGTCTGCAACTCATGAGGGTCTGTGAAAGGTTTAGTAGTAGATAAGTTTTAGCAGGTCACCAAGAAAAGAGCAGGCCCTGTGGGGGCGTGCTCAACAGACCTCTGGGGTTGTCTTAGTCAAGGGCAGCTGCACCAAAATGGACTGCAGAGCTGTCACCAGAGCAAAGACCTGGGTGGGGGCTTCCAGCACAGTGGCAGTTTGCAGGGTAGAAAATTGAACGTCCAGCATATACCATGTTAATTGGGTGTGCCCCTTTTTGGGTCTTACCTGTACTGTTTGTACGGTGTAGATTTTCTTCAGATTTGATGCACACTCAGCTGCAGTGGCTCCAGGGAGGGATCTAAGCAAACATAGCAAAAAGACAAAGAAACAGTAAGACAAATAGTCAATGTTCATGAATTATTCCATAATAGAGTCTGCAGATGTTCATGCAAACCCAGTCTACAATCACAGAACTGGAAATTTCTGGGATCTGTTAGAATTTGAAATGTGAAATTCCTACTTTGTGAAGTCATGGGTTTGCTTCTCCTAAAAAATAAACTTATTTATTCTGTGGAAAGTTAGTACAAAAAACCAGAAATGTATGTAAGAAAGGTATTAGAAACCTTAAAATCACATTTTAAAATACTACTAAAATAACCCTGTAATAAATAAGCCTTTGCTTAGGACTTTGGATGAGAAACTGTGCTGACTGCACAGGTGACAATGAAAATGCCAGGTTCCTGACCTGGTTATGTTTGACAAACTCCTTAGCTCCCCAGTGGTTAAACATTCACAAACTCTTGAGAAACAGAGGGACTTTTGCCAACTTTAAGAAAACACGACTACTAAAAGTCAACTTTAATTTCACTAAATTTGCATGTGTTTCCAAAACACTTGCCTTTAGAAAATACTTTTTGTCATTTTCCCTGGCTGATTTAATTAGCTCTGCTGAACTTTGGGGTCAGAATACATGCAATCTTTAGTTTGCCTATGTTCCACTAGATGGCAACATACTACAGGTTTATTCACCAAAAAAACCCCATGAACTATATGACCAGCTTTACTCAGCACTGGTTCCTAAGACATGATCTTTATCAATCCTTAGAAGACTCTTATAGATAGTTATAGATACCTTTTCTTTCTCCCTATACTGAATTAGAAGTTTCTGCTCAAAAATGTTGGTGTCCAGCTACATCAAACTTATGGTGAAAATTCACCACTCAATGCTTGAAAGTGTCATGTCTGTCTACCAGTAAGAAATAAGAGGCTTGGTGTGAGAAAAGAATGTACTGTTATAGCTGATTCATTCGAATCTGGAATCTGTAAAAGAGATGCTCTTTACTCATTACTGACCTTTAGAGACAGTCCTCAGGGAACCTCAAGATGTTGAACTTCCTGGATAGTTTTTATGCACACTGGATAAGTACACAAGCTCACATAGCTCAGAGGTACAGGGGACAGCAAAGCAAAGGGCCAGGCCAAGAGATCTTGGTACTTGGGGGGAGGGGGAACATGAGGCACAGATGACATTCCTCAAATTATGGACCAATAAATGTTACCTGGGTGTCAAGCCTGAGTACCATAAATGCATTTCTGAAATGAGTTCCTTAGACTGGTGGTTACTAAGTAAGCACAATTACGGATTACTTTGAAGGCAAACAAGGGACCTCTGTTGAGCAGGTAAAGTCTGATAAATCTACCTGAAGCACTTGGTTTAAAACTCATTTCTAGTTGTTTATAAATAAGCTGGACGTTTAAAAAAAAAAATCCACAGTAATGACCATGATTGTTTTTTGTTGCCAGACTCGAAGCGTCATATAACTATGCTGAAGAGCGTGGTGAAGAGTGAGATACTAATTTAGTACCTTGCTATGAGGGTGCCTGCCTGTGATTTATCCATCAGTTTATCCAGACTGTCTGGACATGGGGGTGCTAAAGGTCTGACTTCGATAAACATTGATCTGTTGTTTAATGCAGGCTTTTATGCTATTTTTGGCTAAAATTATGAAAACATTGGTGGAAAGTTTTTAAAAATCTTAAACTTTTTCTGAAGAGATATTCACATGAAAAATCTATTGCTGTTATATGAAAATGTACTGGTATTTGTTCTGGTACTGACTTTTCTTCCTTTGAAAAGTCTAGCTGACCTCCCAAATGAGCATGTCCAGTACAGATACCCCAGCTCATTCAAAGCACATAGGATAATGGATACAAGGCACCCCCTATAGGGGGTGCTGGGGTCCAAAGGGAGTATGCACTTTGTATTTTTTCATTTTAAAACTACATATTTTCAATTTTTACTAGTTTTAAAGTTACACTTCAATTTACGATGGTCCAGAATGAGAGTAATTTGTTCCCCTCATACAGGATTCTATCACCTAAAGCAAATCCAGTGTGAGGACGTGACCATTTCAACCCAAAAGGAAAGTCATTGATGAACTTGTTAAATGCTTCTGGTCTTTTACTCATACTCTAGTAAAAGAGACCACTAAACAAAGTCATTTATGTCCATTCAATTTCACGTTTTTAAAATCATTTTAAAATTTTCGGTCACAGTTGACACACATTATTATGTTAGTTTTAGGTGTATATCCCAGGGATTACACATTACATAACTTAACTAAGTGATCCCGATAAATCCTGCACCCATCTGACACCATACATAATTATTAATATATTATTGACTAAGTTCCCTATGCCGTAATCTACACCTCTGTGAATATTCTGTAACAAGCAATTTGTACTTCTTAATCCATTCACTTTTTTTCACCCATCTCCTCAACCCTCCTCCCATCTGGAAACTGTCAAAATGTTCTTTATATCTGAGTCAGTTTCTGTTCTGCTTGTTCATTTATTTTGTTTTTAGATTCAATTGTTGATAGATATGTATTTATTGACATTTTATTGTTTGTGTTTTTTTCCTCTCCTTCTTTAAGGAAGACCCTTTAACATTTTATATAATACTGGTTTTGTGGTGATGAACTCCTTTAGCTTTTTCTTGTCTGGGAAGCTCTGTATCTGTCTTACCTTCCATTCTAAATGATAGCTTTGCTGGGTAGAGTAATCTTGATTGTAAGTCCTTGCTTTTCATCACTTTGAATATTTCTTGTCAATCCCTTCTGGCCTGCAATGTTCCTTTTGAGAAATCAGCTGACAGTGTTATAGGAGCGCCCTTATAGGTAACTAACTGCTTTTCTCTTGCTGCTTTTAAGATTCTCTCTTTATCTTTAACCTTTGGCATTTTAATTATGATGTGTCTTGGTGTAGACCTCTTTGGGTTCATCTTGTTTGGGACTCTCTGTGCTTCCTGGACTTGTATGTCTAATTCCTTCACCAGGTTTGGGAAGTTTTCATTTTATCTTCATTATTTCTTCAAATGGGTTTTCAATACCTTGCTTTCTCTCTCTTCTTCTTCTGGTATCCCTATGATATGAATGTTGTCATGCTTGAAAATTATCCCAGAGACTCCTTACACTATCCTCATTTTGGGGGATTCCTTCTTCTTTTTGCTCTTCTAAGTGGATGCTTTTTACTTCTTTATATTCCAAATCACTAATCTTAGACTGGGCTTCATCTACTCTACTGTTGATTCCATGTATATTATTCTTTCTTTCATTTAATGTATCCATCATTTCTGACTGGTCCTTTTTTAATGCTGTTGAGGTTTTCACTAAGTTCCTTGGGCATCCTTATAACCAGTGTTGTGAACTCTGTACCTAGTAGACTGCTTGTCTCCATTCTGCTTAGTTCTTTTTCTGGAGTTTTGTTCTGTTCTCTAATTTGGAACAAGTTTGTCTCATTTTGGCAGCCTCCCTGTGTTTGTGTCTATGTATTGGGTAGAACTGCTATGTCTACTGGGCTTGGTAGAGTGGCCTAATATAGTAGGTGTTCTGTAGAGTCCAGTGGCATGATCTCTCCATTCACCTGAGCTGGGCACTCAAGGTGCACCCCCATGTGGGCTGTGTACACCTTTCTTTTGTACTTGAGCCTTGATTGCTGTTGGCATGTCAATGGGAGGGATTTACCCCCAGGCTGATCAGCTGCAAGGACTGGCTGCAACCAATGACCACTGACCTCTGACCACCATGAAGGATCAGCTGTGCCCATCCCATAGAGCAGAACATACTTCAGGGACACACTCTGGTGCCTGCTAAGTCTAAGCCTTAAGTGTGTTGCCTGTGGAGATGGTTGGGTGGTGGAGCTTCAACATGATTTGAAGCTGTCCACTGGGTGCACTGGCTCTGGGGCCTTCTGGGAGGTGCAGACCAAGGTTAGCCACCACCTATGTTCTGCCCAGGGCCACCCAGCATGGGCTGCAAAATGATCTGCAGACAGCTGCTACTAGTGCTGGGTTTGGAGGTGTTTGGGAGAGGACAACCTGTGAATTAAGGCCAGCTCCCAGTAGTGCCCACTTAGTGAGTTTCTATCCACATCAGTTTTTGCTGAATACCATTTTTAATACTAGATTATGTCCATATAACTTTCTTAGAATAGTCTTTTTTTCAATGGAACAAGGTACAGAAGGTTCTCACTAAAACCAACAGGATCATGTCAGCAATAGCTCTATTCTGGTTAACATCTTACAATGCTGACATATCACTGTTTGAAAGGAAATATGTCAGGTTCTATGGAAACTGATTTTTCTAATTTCTTACTGGAAGAAGTTGGATTCTGTGATCTGAAAGGCTCCTTCCAGGTGTTGCAGTTTCATGAATATCCAGATTTCAAAGTAACAAAATGGAGTTGTCAGAACTTCTCATGGTAGTAAATATTTGGATTGGCCAGTGTAAGGCATGGCATTATTCTGTGAGCCAAACCTGATTCTCGCAGCCACTGAAAAATGCCAGTACAACTAACTCTCATGTCTGAAGCTTGGACATCTTCAATAAGCAAAACTGGGCCATATCTGGAGAATCAATTTTAAAATAGGCAAACAAGCTGAGATTTTTAAATAGTCTGCCTTATAAACAGGCCACTGTGTGCTGGACTTGCTGGTTCAACATTGATCTAGAAGCTGTACCATATACTGTTCCTGTTTCTTTCTTAATAAATAAATAAATAAATAAATAAATAAATAAATATATAGGAACACTTCAAGAATTTGCATGTCATCCTTGCAAAGGGGCCATGCTAATCTTCTCTGTATCATTTCAATTTTAGTATATGTGCTGCCAAAGCGAGCACTGTTCCCGTTTCTTAAAGCAGCAGTGCAGGCTGTTAATGGCAAAACAGCAGCCTCAGTGGTGACAGCCCACACCTTCTCTTCCCTGTTATGCTAACAGATAGTTGTAGCAACTAGAAGATAAATGTCAGTAGTGAATTTCATTGAAAGAAACATTTTTATTGGTATCACAAAAAAATATCACATGTAGAGTATCACATGTAGAGTATCTTTTATTTATTTTTTTCTTTGTTTTATTATTGTTCAAGCACAGTTATCTCCATTTCCCCCTCATCACTCCCCTCCACACCAGCCACCCCCACCTCCCACCCTTGATCCTATCCCCCTTTTGCTTTGTCCATGTTCTTTGATGATCCTTCCCTCCCCCCCCCCCATTAACCCCTCCCTGCTACCATCTGGCTACTGTCAGTTTGCTCTTTATTTCAATGTCTCTGGTTATATTTTGCTTGCTTGCTTGTTTTGTTGATTAGGTTCCACTTATAGGTGAAATCATATGGTATTTGTCCTTTACCGCCTAGCTAGCTTATTTCACTTAGAATAATGCTCTCCAGATCCACCCATGCTGTTGCAAAGGGTAGGAGTTCCTTCTTTCTTTCTGCTGTATAGTATTCCATTGTGTATTTGTGCCATAGTTTTTTGATCCACTCATTTACTGATGGGCACTTAGGTTGCTTCCAGCATTTGGCTATTGTAAATTAAGCTGCTATGAACACTGGGGTACATAAAATGGAATACAAATAGCCTCTTCAACAAATGATGTTGGGAGATCTGGACAGCTACATGCAAAAAAAATGACACTAGACCACCAACTTATACCATACAGAAAAGTAAACTCAAGATGGACAAAACTGAAATATAAGTTGCAACACCATAGAAGTCCTAGAGGAGAACACAGGCAGAAAAATCTCAGATGTTCCATGCAGCAATATTTTCACCAATATGTCTCCTAGAGCAAGGGACATAAAGGCAAGAATAAACAAATGGGACTTCACCAAAATAAAAAGCTCCTGCATGGCTAAAGAAAACATTAATAAAATGAAAAGGGAACCAACCGTATAGGAAAACATATTTGCAAATGATAACTTGGACAAGGGTTTGATCTCCAAAATAAAGAATTCATGTGACTACACTCCAGGAACACAAACCACCCAACTAAAAAAATGGGCAAAGAACCTGAACAGACACTGCCCCAAGGAGGACATACATAGGACCCTATGAAAAGATGCTTAGCATCACTAGTCATCAGAGAGATGCAAATTAAAACCCCAATGAGATACCACTTCACACCAGAATGGCCATTGTAAACAAATCAACAAACATCAAGTGCTGGCTAGGTTGTGGAGAAAAGGGAACCCTAGTACACTGTTGAGGGGAATGCAGATTAGTGCAGCCACTATAGAAAACAGTATGGAATTTCCTCAGTACTTTTTATTTTTTGAATGTCTTTTTATTTCATTCATATTACAAACACAAACCTCCCAAGAGAACCCTAACTGAGCCCTGTTTCTGCAAGCCAAGGATGCTCATCTGTGGAGGCTGTGGCCCCCAGGAGACATTTAGCAATACCTGGATATATTTTTTGGCTGACATCACCTGAGAGCTTATTGGAGATGCAGAGTCTCCAGGCATCTCTTGACACCTGCTGAATCCCAAATAATTAATATATACATTAAAGTTTGAGGTATGTTGGCCTATGTCATCTAAATCATGTCATCATAAGAACTGCTAACATCACCCTACCTGGATGACTCAGTTGGTTGGAGCACTGCCCCACACACTAAAAGGTTATGGGTTCGATTCTCTGTCAGGGCACATACCCAGGGTGCAGGTTGATCCCTGGCCATGGTGCATGCGAGAGGCAACCAATCCATGTTTCTCTCTCACACTGATGTGTGTGTGTGTGTCTCTCTGTCTCTGTCTCTTTCTAATAAACATATCCTTGAGTGAGGATTAAAAAAAGAATGAAAGAAATGCTAACATCTCAGGAAGAGGTAATGAACATGTAAACATCACCACTATAACACATGCATTTTTCATCACTCAAACAGATCATCGAGACAGTGTTATCATTAAAGTGAAGGACAATTCTATAAAGGCACTTAGAGGTTTTAGGCAGGGTTCTCCTCTTTAGGCAGGGTTCCCTGCAAATTTTGAAGCAGGAAGTCCTTGGCTTAATTATCTCTGATGACACTGGCCCTTGGTTTCCTTCTTTGCAGAGTTAAGCGGTAGACCTAGATTACCTCTCTCATGTCCTGTCCAGCTTTTGTATTTCAGATATGAAATATGGGAGAATTGCATCCCATTCATTGTCTATATTCAAAGGGATGCAGTATTCAGTGGGGATAGAAACCCTAGAGCTTGGGGCTACACAATACTTCATTCAAATCCTGTTTCTGTTCAATATTAGCTGTGTGACATCAAGAAGTGACTTCTCTGGGGCTTAATGTTCTCATTTATAAAGTGTTCCTGATACGTCCCACTTCAACATTATGAGGATTTTGCGGGTAATTACGTACAGCACCCAGTCAGGTGTCTACCTACCACACTGAGGAAAATGGTAGTTACTAGTAACAGGTTCAAATGGAAAAGGATGTTTAAAACTTTATACAAGGTACAGTATATCCAACTAATGGAGACACATGTCCACTGCACATGCACAAACAATGGTGATGAAAATATGAAAGATAATACTCTACCTAATTTGAGAGATCATGTTATTTCAGTGATGAGAACTGCTTTAAAGAGGAAAACTATAAAGCCAGGAATATGTCTCCTAAAGGCCAACTTTCTTGTTGAATTTATTAACATCAGGCTCAGTGGTCAGAGGGAAGATCTGCTCAGGCTCAGTTACACAATGAATGATATCCCTTATAGATCACTCACTCCTTTCAATCACTTTTAGACAGATTTGTAGCTTGTGCTTACAGCAGCTTATTGTTTGAGAGTCACATAAAAAATGATTCAAGGCCTATTATTAACACTAAATAATGCATCCACTAAAACTACATAGTTTAAATGCTTTACTTTTGCATTTTTATTGTATTTTGATTTCTCCCTGCTTCCATCTATTGTCACTCCCAGCCTAAGAGCTCCTTGCCAGTAGCAACTAGGACTCTTTTAATCTTGATACATAATTAATCCTTCAGTACATGGAGTTTGTGTCAAAGAGAGGTATAACTGTATTAGAGTTGACAATAGAACTAAGCAAGGCCATGTTGCAACCTGTAATCATGGCCAGGATGATTTAGTGATCAACTGGCAAGATCACTAAAGTATTGCTAGTTGTCTTAGGTTTGGAAATAGAGAACGGCAATTCTAAAATTAGAAGGAGAAAATATATTTTTTGAACAGTTAGTACCAGGTAAGAACTAGTAACTTTTCTGAGTGAGGATGTTTAGGAACCACAAGTCTATCTGCCAAAAGCAACCAATGACTCATAGTTGGACAGGCTGTAAACCCCTAGTCAGGGCCTTTCCCTGTCTGATCAACCCAGAGATCATTAACCCTTACATGAAATAAAATCCTGGGCCTTTAAGAGAGGTTCAGAAAGGAAAAAATGGGGGAAAGAAAGAATAGGAATAGCTGAGATGCTGGCCACTCTCTACCTGTCAACTATGGCCTTCTGTGTAACCTCCTGCCCTTACCTAGCCTCCAAGGGCCATTCTATGAAGAAGAATAATTTGGGGATCCTCTTTGTCAAGCCTTGCACCACTTCCACATGTCAGATTTGTTATTGTAGAACACACAATTGGAATACATGTGAAAGCATCACACCCTGAAAGGTGGGTCCCTCTAGAACTCACCACCTTGCTGAACTCATCATTAGTGCTACTGAAACATATAGCATGTAACACAACTCTTCTGGGAGGCCCAGGTCCAATGTTGTCATCATCTTTTCATTCTCAGCACCCAGAAAAGTGACTAGCAACTGATATGCTCAATTAACCTCATTAATAAACAAAGCAGTAATTCTCAGGCTTTGAAGCCTACGGCATTTGTTAAAAATGCACATTCCACCCCAGAGGTCTCACTGAGTAAGGCTGGGAAGGGTCAGGAGACTGAACTTTAACAAGCAGTCAAGTGATTAGGAGGTGTGCGGTAAGGAATTACACTTGAAGAAATAATGGCTGGGTGGACCTAAACCTTGATGGGGTGGGGTTCATGGGAGATGTCCATCATGACTCATCTCTATGACTAAAAACACAAGAACACAGCTCTGGCCAGGTGGCTCAGTTGGTTGGACTGTCATCCTGTACACCAAAAAGTTGTGGGTTCGATCCCTGGTCAGGGCACATACCTAGGTTGAGAGTCCAATCCCCAGTCAGGGTATGTACAGGAGGTAACCAATCTGTTTCTTTCTCACATCAATGTTTCTCTCTGTGTCTTTCTCAAGTCAATGAACACATCCTTGGGTGAAGGTTAAAAAACAAAACAAGAACACAATACTCACTAAGCACCTATTAATGTACTGTAATATGCACTCCTGGGAATCAGACAAGAGGCAATTAGACCCTCATGATCAAGAAGAAGGGACAGAAGAGGAATCAATGATCCTTAAATACTGGCCTATAAAAAAATGCTGTGGAAACACAAGGCTTAATTGTTCTTGAGCCAAAGGCTGACGAAAGACAATTATAAATGCAGCATCTTAGTGAGGCCTGGAAGGGTGCATGACAGCTTTGCAGGTAGACAAAGGGGAGAGGGCATCCCAGGCACAAAAAGCATTGTGAGACCAATCTCAGAGGCTGGCAAGACCATGGTTTATCCATGAAGATGGCCAGTAGTCTGTTGTTACCAGAGAGAATGCACAGACTGAGTGGTACTATGGAGCTGGGGAGAGGTAGGTGATGAGGCTAAAAAGGAAGTGGGTTTCATATTAAACACAGCAACATAGAACTTTGTACCATAATTGGAGGTCTACAGTTTTCACTTTTTTAAAGCTAGGGAATGCTTTTTCAAATTCAAGTAGTCCATTTCTAAAAACACAGACAACAAAATCAACCAGAGATGCTCTGGTAAAAGTAGGGGTGGAGATCCAGAATCCTACCTGTCTGGTACATATAATCCTACAGCAGAAGCACCCTTAGGTGGTGGGAGACAAACAGTCAAAACCTGCTGCTGTGGCAAAGTGGGGTAGGGGGTTTGGGAATGACAAGATCAGGTGTTTAGGAAGCTGACCTTGCCAACCCAGGCTAGTGAGGGGGCAGATGCTTGGAGAAGGGAAAGCTGAGTTCGGGTAAACTAGTGAGAATATGGGGCCAGAGAGAACTAGGTCTCTAGAGGGAAGGAACATAGAGTTGAGGGGACAGCTGAGGCTTGGAGTAAGTCTTCCAACAATGAGTCAACAATTGGAAGAACTACAGAACTGGATGAAATAGGGTACTTGAGAGAAGATTCCAGGGATAATGGAAATTCCAACTTTGAAAAACTGGTAGGGTGGTGGTATGCTTACACAAAAGATGGTAGGTAGTATGTGTCCAGAACTCAGGAGAGAGTTCAGGGCTAGAGATGCAGACTTGCAAATGATATTCAGAATAGTATGAACTACCATGGGAGGAGGGAAAGTCACTGTAGGTAGTATTCAATAATGCCCTAAATATTTAGTGTGGGCCAACTTATGCTAGGCTCTTAACTAGGAGCTGCAGACAGAGCAATAGGGAAAGAACACTGTGAAGCTTACATTCTAGTGAGAGAAGATGGACAAATGGGGCTAATCCTATAGAGAAAATAAAGCAGGGTCAGGGACATGGGGAATGTGTCTGGATGTACATGCTATTTTGTATCTATGCTCAGAGATGGCCTCCCTGAGATGACATTTGAGCAGAAACCAGAAAAAAAGAAAAAAGCACAGGCACCTAGCAGATGATTGAAAGAACAGTTCCCCATGCAGAGGGAACTCAGTGACAAAGGACCATCCTTAGGATAATGGAAAAAGAACAAGGGAAACAGTGAGCTAGAAGGGTGTGGGAGGAGGGAGAGTAACAGGAAGACAGAAGGGATAAGGTGTCCTGAATGAGGACAGGAAATGCTGCAGAGTCTTATGGGCTGTTACAAGCACTTTGTCTTTGCACTGAGTGAAACAGAAAGCAGAAAAGTGACACACTTTAGTTTAGGTATTACAGGGACCACCAGCTGCTGTGGTGGAAATGGGCTATAGGGACAAGGATAGATGCACGGAAAGCAGTTAGGATGTTCTTGCATTCATCAGGTGACAAACGTGTGGTCCAAGGTCTAGGATGCAGATAGTGCCAATGAATTGGATTCTGGATACACTTTAGTGATAGAGTGAATAGCTTTTGTTGATAATGGATGTAGCAGGGGAGGGAGGAGGACAAGATAGAGAAGACAAAGGGGGAAGGTGAGGAGGAGAGTCACAGATAACTCCAAGATTTCTGGGCTGAACAGATGGAAGGAAGGAGTTGCTGTTAAGTGCTTTTATCTGAGATGGACAGATGGAGAGAGTCATGTCTGGGAGGAAAGTTGAGGTGATCTGCCACACACTGAATTTGGATGTGTATTAGACATTCACACAAAGACAGGAAGAGGAGCTGAATGCATAATGTCAAGTTTGGGGAATAACCAGTACACAGATGGAACTGAAAGTCTTGTGACTAGATGAGATCACTGGTGTGGATGGAGATAAGAAGAGGGCTAAGGACTGAGTCCTGCAGAGGAAAATCAGAGGAAAGGGGGTAACCATGAAATTAAAACAAAGCAGAGACACATACCAAGAGTGGCCTCCAAGAATCAAGACACGGCAGGGTTTTAAATATCCAGAAAATGGAAGGAAACTCTTCATTCCATACTGTCAACTAAAATTACTTCCCGAATGTTTAAATCCTTAGCCATAAAGTCCATTTACTTAAAAAAGAAATCATATTGGAGTTTACTATTGAAAATGCAAATAACTTCACTGAAGGATTCTCCAATTCATTCCTGAGGGGAATGAATGAGGTTTTGGCTTCCTCACACTGAGGTCAGATAAGCTGCTTCAGGGGCTGTGTGTGGGGCAGCACGGTGGTTATATGTGTGGGAGACGGTTGCTGGGGAGGGAGGGGTCTGTAATTTGGGAGCATAAAATACCATTGTTGGAAGTGAGCATTTTATAAACATTTATGCATTGGTGTTTCACATTGATGGCTCTCATTTAAGCCTCAAAACAGCCCTCTGAGATATATCCTATGATTATCACCCTTTTACAAACAATGAAAGCAAGGATTAGGAAGGCTAGATTACTTTTCCCTCACCACACAGTGGGCTGGATGGTAGGAAAGGCTAGGAAATAGGTGCCAAAGGGGAGTTTTAAGAAGTGGGAGGCCTTTGGATGATATATTCCTAAAAACCAATGTCGCTGGTGGCAGATATCAGCTAAAAGCTGTACCACCCTCTCTAGAATCTTGCCTTTCTAGGGGAAAAATTTAAAAATGAACCTCTAGAACTCAATGTGTTCATACACCCAAGAGGAAGGGGACAGCCTAAATAAATGTAGGACTCCCAAAGAAGTGAAGAAAGTTCAACTGAAGCTATGGGATGATTAATCAGGAAAATAAATTCATGTGTGCAATGCTAGAACTAATTATAATTTCTAAATTCAAAGAATTTCTACTAAACATTTCGGACACTGTGACAATAATAGTATATTTCACTTGCTTTCTAGCTTTCAGAGAACAAAAATGTGCAAATACATAATATGAAAGCTATGGCTGTCTTTACTGAAGTTACCATGTTCTTATCTTAAAAAATACCAAATGTTCTTAAAAAGTTATGGTGTTATATAGTTTTAATAACTTAGACCATTCTTAAAATGTTACCCCTCTAAGTAGACTAATTTTTGATCTGTTTAAAAAGAAACTTTTGATACTGTTTCCACCAGTCAACAATATTCACAATTTATTCCATAGATCCAGGTTTAACTCCTTGAAAACAGACACCAGTTAATAACCCCAGTTCAGCATACCCTTGAAAACAAAGACACACATGATTTCATTTTGATAGTTTGCCAAAAACACTCTCATTATGACAGTAAAATTCTCTCTTAACAAAAGTGAAAGTATTTTGAAGGATGACACTCACTGTATCTCCCCCACCCCCAACTTCTTCTTTGGGTCAAGGAAAACACAAGGGCTCCAAGTGTCAGTTCTTATAGATGGGTGCTAATTCCAACAGAAAGGAAGAATGAGCCCATCTTCCTTAAAGAGATGATTATCACTTTTAAAAAGTCTTGCAAGCATTTTATACCAGGCCTTTGAAAACACGTGTTTAAGTAAGTAAACTTCACAGAAAGCTGTCACATACATTTCCTCCAAACACTTAAACCATAGTAGAGACAGTGCTAGCAAAATTTCCATGAGCTCTTGGGACATCCCTAAGATGTCAAGTTGGGCACCCACTATATGACAGATACTAAAAAGGGACTTTGTATTCATCAATTTGTCAAAATTTCTTTTGCTCCTCCTGTGGGCCAGGCACAGTTCTAGGTGTTGGGATATAGCAAGTATCAAAAACAAAGTCACTACTTTTTGGCCCTCAACAGAAGGGAAGTGTTGAGGGATTGAGACAGATTCCTGCGGTAGCATTAAGCATCATAACAAAAACAAGGACTGAAAACAGAATGGTTGGAGGGTGGGGTGCGCTAAATTAGACTCGGTAGTCAGGGAGGCATTTCTGAGAACAGGGCACTTGAGCTGTCCCTTGAGAAAGCTATAATTGTCACTACTGGACCGACAAGAGGTACTGCTCCCCGTTCAATCCCCAGCGCCTAGTAGGTGTGTGGCTCCATGGTAAGTGCTAAGAAAACAAAGCAAAAAACAACCCCCACCCCGTGCCAAATGGATAAGAACTCAAGAAGATAAGTACGGCCGCTCCGGTGGGGGCGCGGGTGCGGGGACCTCGGTGCTACCCTAGTACTAACACCGCACACTCCCAAAGGCGGGTCAACTTTTCCCAGCGCTGTCACTGCCAAGGTCATGCCGCGAGCTCCCCAGAAACCACGAGGGGTGACCAGCCCTCCAACTCCCAACCCGACGTTCGCCCGCAGTCCTCCTTTAAAAGGGAGGGGGAAAAAAGGGAAAGTGCGGCCGAAACTTCTGGAGCTGAGCCTCTTCTCTCCCAGAAGCTCGCCCCGGCCCAAACCTGCTCTGCGCCAGGCCCCGGGGCGGAGACGGGGTCTGGGCGCGCAAGGCAAGGCGGTGGCGCTGGTCAGCGGACGCACAGCGGGGTCCTCACCGGTCCAGCCAGAAGGTCCAGGATGAGTGCAGCGGAACCCCGCCCGGCTCAGGCCGCAGAGCTGACTGCTGCTGCAGGCCGGTCGGCGGCGCGGGGGCGGGGGCAGGCCGGGGCCCCGCCATTTTCTCCGCCCCGCCTGCCTGAACAGCGGACAAGCGGTCTGCAAGGCGAGCGCTGGCAGTCAACCCTGCCCAGCCCCGTCGGCCCCGCGCCAATCCCCAGCCCACTTCCCCTCCACCTAGCTCCAAGTCCCCACCCTCGTCCCCGCCCTCCCTCGCCAAGCTCCCTCCCACTCCCGCCCTCCCTCGCGCCAAGCACCCGCCTACAACCCCGTAATCCCCGCCCGCCGGAGAAAAGCTGGCCGGCCTGAGGGCGAGGTGGTACCTTTCCTGTTCATGCCCAGACCCAAAGCGTAGAGGACGAACTGCCTCCCGGAGGTCTAGGCAGGTTATGGCAGTTAGGGAACAATACCGGTCAACCGGCTGATTCGGCAGCCAGACTAGTGGTCGGCAGTTGAATGAATGGACGGTTCCGGAAAGAAGATGGGAGAAACAACTCCATGGTGATAGGAAAGGAGGAGTGGGAAGGAAAGTTGGCAGGTGACAGAAGCAGGGATGGAGGAATGAAAGGGCAGATGGAAACACAGTTGGGTGTGACTGATGCAATGGGAACCTCTGGCCAAATATAAAATGATAAAGAGACTGGATAAAGAGACTGGAATGCCCAAGAGCGCAGATAGAAAGGGCCAGACGTACAGAAGCCAGGAACCACTGACTGACTCAGGCCTGAAACTGTAACAGGTCAGCCCTGAATTCCTCATGGTGATTGCACTTTCCGAACTGAAATGATTTGAAGAGATTAGAGCCCCCAACCCACCCTCTCTTGGGACCACCATCTACCCATAGTGGTGAAGCCTGGCCTAGAGTGTGGCTAATTTCAAAGGAAGATTCCCAAAGTCAGCTGAAGTTCTCCAGGCTTCCCCCAAAGCACCTGCAAGGATGGAGGAGGAAACCAGGCAATCTTGAACACAGAGCCCTCTGCTTTCTGCACCTCTGAATAAGGAGGAAGTCCCTACCATCACAAGATTCCTCAGGGATCCTCCTAGCATAGCCCCCTTGCCAGGTCTTTGTCACTCTCTCAAAAGAAAAGTAGAAGCATGAGGGCATGTAAACACATACGTCATAATTGGCATAGGCATGGATACTCTCTTTAACCTTTTGGCTGTAAAGGTTCCAGCTCCTCCTAGATTTTCCACCTGGCCTAATACGTTCTGCTCTTCGCTTGAACCTTTTTTAAAGGATGGACCCTTTAAAAAAAAGGAGCTGCAAATCCAGATGCACTCAGGGCCATCACAGGCATGGTAAATGCCTACTAGGAATCCCAGGGTAGGTACCTTCCCTAGAAGGCATTTAAGTCTAGATAAAATGACAATGAAAACAAGATGACTGTTTTTTGATCCCTGCTTCAAACATAATTTCTCTACAACGTATGATGCTGGAAGCAGTGATGTTTATAAAATCTTTCAAACTCTGAGATACTGGGGGTCCTTTGGGTTAGATGCACTTTAAAAATTTTCTCCTTTTGATTTTTTTTTCAAGAAAATACAAATATAGCATTGTTTAGGCTGTTCTCAGCACTTTAAAATTAACTCATGTAATCCTCACAATAATCCAGTGAGGAAGTTCCTATTATTGGCCTATTTTATTGATGAGAAATGGAGACGTTAAATTAGCCCCCAGGTCCCATGCCTAGTAAGTGATAGAGCCAGGATTTGAACAGAGTCTAGGCTTTTAAATTCCAAGCTCTACTCCCTCTCTAACTAAAAAACTAACATGTCCACATAGTAAAAATAAGGAAATGTATAGTAAGTCTTCCTCCATTCTGAGGCTATCAGTCTTTCTGCCCAGAGGAAACCACTGTTAAGTTTCCTTCCAGGAAAAAAGCAAGTATGCACATAAAAGCATGCATCTAGACATGTAAGTTTTATACCTGTCTACATCTTTTATAACAGAAATAGAAGCATTTTATAACATTGCTGCACATCCTTATCTTACTGAACACTATATACTGGAAGATTTTTTTTCCATATCAAAACATACAGATCTACTTCGTTTTAAGGGCTACAAAGTAATCCATTCTAAAGAATAATATAATTTAATTCATTAGCCCTCTATGTAGTTTGTAGTCATTTCCTTTTATAAATAATAAGCAAATTTGTACTTGATATCTTTCCTCATATGTGCAAATTTATTTCAGAGCAAGTTTGGAAAAGTAGAATTTTTGTCTATGTTTAAAAATTTGATATATTTTGCCAAATTGTTGTGCACAGTAGATAGATGAATTTATACATTATTAATTTATAAATAACAGCTGATTCTGAAAACTTATATTTACCAAGTGACATTTATGTTTATCAAATTCTAAGACATTGGTGGAAAGGGGGTTTTTGCTTTCTAATGATTAAAACTAGTCAAAGTGTCAAGTTTAACTTCTTCCTTATGTCCTTTACTACACCCTCAGCAAGAAAGGGTTAATTTAAAAGTATTATACGCAGTTTCTAAAAGACAATATATACCACATGATAAATTACTTTCAGAAGTTAGAAGAACAGTCTAGCAATTTTTCTTTATTGAATAACAATTATGCACCTCCCTCTCTTTTTTGCTTTGGCTTCCAGGATGCTCAATACTACATCTGATGCTTAATCACAACATCAATATTAACCAATGAAGAAGCATCACTATTTTTATATTACTTTATTTCTATTTTATTGTAGTGACCTAATTTCACACGTGCATCTTACACATATGCATCTTATACAACCTCTCAAACCCCTTTTGGAAGTAGGTCATATACAAAAAAAATTTTAATGACCTTTAGATTAATAAGAGGTCAGGTAATGTCACTAAGGTGAGAGGCAAGGAGAGAACAATGAGTATAACTTTCATTCCCTTACTGTTTGAAATGTGTTATTGCTCTTCAGAATCATCCTCAGAAGATAACAAATTGGGAAAATTCTTCTCCTTCCCCCTTTGTAACTGGACAGCAGGAATTAGAATTTCAGTGTAGAAAAGAAACTTGAAGATTATCTAAGCAAACCTATCATTTTACAAATGAGGAAACTGAGGCCCAGAGAAGTGAGATGACTTACCTGAGGCCACCACTCTAGGAAATGACAGAAAAGGACTAGAGCATGGGTAGCTTGAGATCCAGGCCAACGTGCTTGGAGTAACACGCAACTCAGATGACTTGGGATGGCAGGAGAGAGGAAGAGAAGATAACCATACAGCCCCTAGCAACAAAACAACAAAAAGGAATTGAAGCACTCATAAATAATTAAGCAATTAGCTGCAGCAGCTATTCCCCTCCCCTCCAGCATGCAGTCACCAAGGCAACTTGGGCAGGGTGCCTGCTGGTTGCCTAGTAACAGTGCGGTTGTCTCCCCTGACATGCTCCCTAAGCATCAAAGGACTTGAGAGCAAGGAAGAACCTTAGACAGGGATCATTCATTTTCCAAATGGGGAAATGGAGGCCCAGAGAAGCTAAGCAACCTGTGCAAAGTCACACAGCTACTCAGAGACACAGCCGGGCTCTCTATTTCGAGTTGCTTTCCATTGCACTAGGGCTGCCTTGGGAACCCTACAGGTGATGGGCTATGGGGAGAAACATCTCTTCACAGTTCCACAGAGAATAAATAAATGACTCAGGCAGCAAGCAAGAAAGACACAGAGGCCTTGAGCTCTCATATGCAATTAACTGGTAATCCCATCAGCCCAACTTTCATCATCACCATGGCAACATGGGTGAGGTGGGTGCTGGTTGCCTAGTAACAAGTGGTCCTCTCTCTTCCACTCACATCAGGCTCCCTGGGAATCACAGGAACAGCAGAATGTTGGAGCTGGAAGGGAAGGCAGAGATCCTAACTAAGTCTCTTTCTTTGATCAATAAATAAACTAAGGGTTTGGGGACACTGCACAAGGTCACATAACCATACAGCTAGCTAATGACAGGGACTCTTTCTTGGCCGGCCAGCCTTTCCCGAACCCCCTCCATTTATTGTCTCTGTCACAGCACCGTGGGAAAGGAAACTTCACTCAAAGTGAAAACATTTAAGAGGAATGTCTGGTGGTTCCCTGAAGGTATTTCTACCACTTGTCTAAACGTGGCTATGCCACACACAAGGCCTGGCATACAGCACTATGTACAGTTATAAAAATCCAGGGTCTCTAGAGCCAGAAAACCTCAGTCAAAGCCAGCTCTCCCCAAATCTGGCAAGTTTCTTATCCCTCTGTGCCACAGCCTCCACATCTGAGAAATGGGTATCCTGACAGTGCCTGCCTGAAATGAGCATAAAGATTAAATGAGAAAATGAGCATTAAGATTAACTGAGCATTATGATTTAAATGAGAAAAAGGACAGCAAGTGACTGGTATATATCCAGTTGGCCAAAAAGTCCATTAAGTTTTTTCTGTAATATAAAAGACACATTTTTCATTTTATCCAATAACTTTATTGATTTGGATATTTTGAGAAGGTCAGCTACCTCCTGCTATTGGCTTCTAGTGGGTACAGACCAGGGGTGCTGCTAAATATCTTCCAAGGCATGAGATAGCGCCACAGCAAAGAATTATTTGGCCAAAATATCAATAGTACCAAGAAACTTCACAAACTACTTTTGACATGTTCAATCAGTCACAACACTTCTTTTGCATTTCAGTTGCATTTTTACCTTTGTTGAAATAATAAAGCATAACATGCTGAAAGTGTTATGTATCTTCTTCCACCTTCAATATTAAAATAGCTGAACAAAAATTCATCAATCTTGATAAGTTCTTTTAAAATGCGCACTTATATGACAGCTGTCACAATACAATCTAACAAAATTGTTTTAATGTAGTTAAAGACAACTAAGCACTATTAAAGTCACGGCAAGGAAAAAACTAAACAAATTTTTTGGCCACCCCAATGTACGATGCAGTAAATGTTAGGTATTCATTTATCCTACACTCAATAAGTATTTGCTGCATGTCTGCTATGCAAGTTCCTTGTCCAGGGCTCTTGAGATTCATTAGTAAGCAATACAGAAAAAGAAATCCCTTTCTCAGGGAGCTCACTTTGCAGTGGAATTACTAGTGTGTGTATGTGTGTTTAACTTTTTAAATATTTTTTGAATGGGTGGAGGAACTTATTGGCAATATCCTATGTTACTGGGCT